AAACCCAGCATAACATAAACCCTATTTAATTCCTTATATTAAATAGGGGAACTTGTCGGTCAATACATTGGCTTCGCAGACCAAACTGATGCATAACTTTCTCTAGTTTATTTGATCGAGCCTCACCCTCAATTCTTGTGTTCATCGTTTGGGATAAATACAAGATTTGAGGTAAAGCGCTCTTTCATCTAAATTATGAAAATTATGGGGTCAGTTTGACTTCATCCTTTTCAAAAATAAAATTTTTAAAATGTCCTTCCGAAGTAGGCAATGAGATTTCGATTCTGATGACCGACAGCTTCTTACGGGCAAACCCAACACCAAAAATAGTGCTGACATGTCCCTCTGGTGATTCTCTCTCATTATTGTTGCTGTTGTGCTCCTCTTCTTATCGACGACATGACTCCAAGCTCGCTGCATCTTTTAGGATATTGAATCCAAATCTATCCAGGAAACACACCTAGGAAATAAACACGGAAAAAAAGAAAAGAAAAGAGAGAGCACAACAATGAATAATAAAATCACATAACATTTATTCATGAAATGAGTCCTTATTTATAAAAAAAGGAACCATATGATTACATCTGTACCCCTAGTAAAGTAGGTAAGGAAGGGGCATTTTGAATAATACATAGTTATAAGGCAGGAAGTCTAGAAAAGTGTTCAACAGGTTAATGATCCGGGCGGCCATGGTCAAAGGGTTGACTGGGAGGTGCCGCCGCCTGTCTAAGATCCAGGAGACTTCTTTCACCCGCTCGACCTAGATGAGGATTCTTGTCAGATTGTCCTTTTAAGATTCATCTGGGCGACCTTTTGGAAGGGTTGTTGACTTTCGTCCATCTTGGTGCGGACATATTTTTGATATACATATCACTATATGTAATTTCTGGTATCGATTTCAGTAATTTCGCGTTCTTATGAATTTAAAAGGTTTGTTGCTGATGATATCCTTCTCATGGATAAGTTGAGAGAAAAAGCTCAGGAAAAATTTGAATTATGGAGGTTTACATTGGAGTCTAAAGGCTTTCATTTGAGTAAAACTAAAGCTGAATACATGGAATGTAATTTTAGTAGTAGTAGCTCTAGTGACAGAAGTGTAACTTTGGGTGATCAATTATTAAAAGGTATGAACGATTTTGATATCTCAGGCCTGTTGTTCAAAGTGATGGTGATATAGATGGGGATGTTAATAGTAGAATTCAGGTTGGTTGGTTGAAGTGGAGGAATGCTTCGGGCCTTTTGTGTGAAAGAAAAGTACCGCTTAGACTGAAAGGAAAATTTTATAAGATGGTGGTGAGACCTGCAATGCTTTATGACGCTGAATGTTGGCCTTTAAAAGAGAAGCATCATACTAAGTTAAGTGTTGTCGAGATTAGAGTGATTGGGTAGATGAGTTGCTTTACACTTAGAGACAAAATGCAAAATGAATATATTCGTGATAGGGTTGGTGTAGCTCTTGTGACAGTCAAAATTAGAGAAACTTGTATTAGATAGTTTGGTCACATTAAGCGTCAACCATATGATGATCCGATTAGGAGAGTAGATGTTTTAGAATCGACTTATGTTAAGAAAGACAGAGGTAAACCTAGGAAGACTTGAGCTTATTGTAAAAAAAAGATCTTAATTTATTAGAACTAAATGAAATATGACACTAATTAGGAAACAATGGAGAAATAGGATTCATGTAGCCGACCCCACCCCACGTAGTGGGATCGAGCCTTTGTTGTTGATGTTTCTTTTTAAATGAAAAAGACATTATTTTTACAATGTTTTAAATATTAATTTCAACAAAACTTAATTAAATAAAAATCTTTTTAAGTCAACCAGCACAAGTGCTATAACATAAGATAAGTTTTTTTTTTTAATTTTTTTTAATTTTTTTTTTGGTTGGAGAGTTTGTGTAAGGGTGTAAACGAGTCGAGTTGATCTTCAGAGTCAAATTGCGAGCTCGAGCTCATTATTCAAAATCGAGCGCTTGAATGACGAGCTTGAGCTCGTCTTGTAGTCATAGACGTTGGCTCGCAAGCTAACTCGCGAGCTTGAACTAAATATTCATTTTTTTACAGGAGCTCATTGTAGAAGGTATTGGCGGCTGAATGAGGTGGAGGATGCACTGGCCGCTCACGAAAAAATACATTAAAATTATTAGTGATAGGCTAATTCAGCAGGGTCGTGAGCCAACAAGCCAAGCAGAGTCGAACTCGAGCTCAAGCTCAAGCTCATGACTCGATAAACTTAACTCATGAGCTTATTTACGAGTTGAGCTAGAGCCGGCTCGTCCGCTGATTTACATACCTACCTTCGAGCATGGAAGGAAGCATAAACTGCTTTATCACAATGTATTTACATTCAAAGAAAAATACACGAATAAGATTGTTGACAAATATGGAGGAAGGAATCACGAAATGACCGTTGGAATTTAAAACATATTTTTCCTTTCAAGTAGCGTTATAGATTTATTGTAAAAAAGAAATTAAAGAACCATCACTACCATTAATAAAACGGAACGAGTGCAATGTATCGCCAGAAATTGATTTACTTTCCAAATCCAATTGCTAAATCCTCGACTAAAGGATCTTTAGCAAATAAAATTAATTAAACACGTCAAATTTCTATAAATAGAACGGGTAACATCATGGTTTAAAAAACGGGTATTTACATACATACCATCCAATTCCTATGTATTTACATATTAAAAGCTAAACTTTATTTTTTACATTTATACCACCAACTTCTTTCAATTTACATTAAAAAAATCACTATTTTGAGACTTTGGCTTTTAAGAGATTGAAATATATTCTTACATGCATGGATGAACTAATATATGTATGTAAAAGTTAAAGTTTAGATATGTAAATGCATAAGAATTGAGTGGTAATGACGTAACTTATGGACTCAAATGATTCGAAAGATTCAGCCTTTTTGGAAGGAGAAATTATTTTATACGGACTCCGCATGCATGCAGAGATGCATGTGGTGTTCGATCTCCACCGTCGATTACCGCAATAAAAAAAAATTTAAAAAAAGTTGAAAGTGGGGCTCACTGAAATACATCTTTGCGGTAATCGACGGTGGAAGACAAGCTCGTTAAGATTTGATGGTGATTTTTTCGCTTAACATTTGGAGACGAAATTAAAGTAATTAATCTTAAGGGATTTGCAAACACATATATCACAAAAACTTTGAATCATTTAAATTTTTATATTTATTTATTTAACATATTAGTATTTAAACAGCTTTAAAAAATTATTATTACTATTAATTTATCTGAAATACATGTATTAATTTATAAATATTTTAAATACTGAAATATTATATAAACCAATAAAAAATTTAAGGGGTATTTACATACACACCGCTCAATACGCGCGCATTTACATATCTAACATCAAAACTTAATTTTGTATATTTATACCTCCCAAAAATTTTACAATCAATAAAAATATCCTTTTTTTACTTTTTAAAATAGAGAAATACATATTTTTTATCCATAAATAATGTGCTATATACATTGAAGTTTAAGATGTAGATAAATAAATACATAAAAATTATATGATATATATATATATATATATATATTATATATATATAAATATGCAAATCTTTCAAAATTTAAATATTAAATATATAAATAGATGTGAATCTTTCAAAATTTAAATATTAAATATGAAAGAAGAATTCTCTTCCTCATTCAAGAAGAGCTATAACTTTCCCGCTCAACTCTTCGCCATCTCTCTCTTTCTGGCTCTCCAAACCCACAATCTGCATCCTCCGTCTCTCTCTCTCTCTCTCTCTCTCTCTGTCTCTCTCTATCTCCATCTCGATGTTTCAGAAAATCTTCTGCCGTTGCAGTGGAGACGATAGCGTGGCCATTTCCACCTGCACGCTTCAGGAGGTAATTAATTTTCTCCATTCCCTATGATCGGGATTTACTCGAATGGTACTGAAATTAGGGTTAAAGAGCCTTTGCATTAGATTTATAGTGGAGAAAATAATCTGCGGATAAACCGAAGTAGAAATGTTTGTTTTTCTTCTTTTTTTGGTACTGGATTGCATTTCTTGCTTGGGAAATTAAACGGATGCCAAAATTTTTGTAGTTCATGGAGTGGTTTAAAATTGCACAATATGAGACCTGATTTGAGGCTTGTCTTTTGAAAAATTTGTAGTAGGACTTATGTCTCGTTTGAGATTGAAAGAAGAATAGTATAAGGGAAGATGGCCGAAATGTTGGAGATTTGAAGATTGGTATGTTCTCTGTGGAGATCATAGATGAATCTCATATTGAAGTTTGTTAATTGGTTCTTGTGTTCAATTATTATTTACTTTATTGTGGTTGCAGGCCTGTATTTGCTAGAAAGTTTAGGTAGTACTCCAATTAGCTTTCGATATACTTGAACACCTAAAAGCAGTTACAGGATTATGACTTTTTCTTTCTAATTTAGTTTGGAAAAGAGTTTAAATATAACGTTCATGATGATGCAAATTTTACCCGTAATTCGAAAATCTCCAACAAAACTAGAACATTATTTTAGAAGATTTATTTACATACACTTTAGTTCCTATGTGTTTACATATTAAACACCTAAACTTTAGTTTTCACATAAAATACGCCTAATATATGCTTGGAAGGGTTTATTTCAATTTTTAAAAGTTAAAATAGTGATATTTTTTTATGTGATATGATTGATTTTAGTGGTATAAATGTAAAAAGTAAAGTATTGGTGTTAGATATGCAATTCCTGAAGAAAAATATGTAAGGAAAAGTTATTAGGTGCGGACTCCAATGCATCCAGAGTCCAATAATAAAACGTCATGTGTCAAGTGGGCCCCACATATTTTAGCACTGACCAATCTCCGTGTATTTCGGTGGGCTCACTTGACATATGACGGCACTCAATTTGTCTCCGGACGCAAATTATATCTGCTTGCAAACGTAGCAATAATTAGCATTAGTTTTTTTAGTTGTAGTGCACATCTTTTCATTCTACATTCTGACTTATTACCTGGCAGACATTTGAAAAGCTCGGGGAGAAGGAATATCTCTTGCAAAGAAAGGTTGCTGTGGAAATTAAGAGGGCTAAAGAATTTGCTCAGGCAAAAAACAGAGAAGGTGCGAATCAGATAACACTAATTAAGTTCAGTAATTTAACGAGTATTGGGATTTGGTGTTGATTTTTTAATCAGTTATGTTATTTGTTGGGTGGCATGCTGTATGTTAATGAGATCATATATTTCTACTTATTTATGTACAATCCGATTGATATGTCTGCTTATGAATTTTATCAGTCATCATAGACTTGCTATGCTGAGCAGAACAACATCACAACATCTGTGGCCATCATTGCTATGTTCGTGTTAGGGGAGTAATTAAGCCAAGCTGATTCGTCAGTTGGCTCGATAAATGACTCGTGGACTGAGCTTGATGAGCTAACAAGCCAAGCTCAAGTCAGTCTCGACTCTACTTGTTGGCTTGTGAGTCGGCTCGTTTATAAAATAATTAATATAAAATATATTAAAAATATATTAGAATTCAAGTATTTATCTTGAAAGTATTAAAAATGTAAAAAAAAAAAGTGATATTTTATATTTTATATTAAATAAGTTCTTATTAATTATCTCTTAAATACTCCTTATATTTGCCATTTTATTACATTTCTAGCAGGAATAATATTATTTTCTCTCTTTCATAATAAATAAGCCAACTTAAAATTGTAAATAGTAAGCTCTAGGTCCAGGTCGAACTCATTTAATTAATTAAACTCAAGCTGAGGGTGGCTCGAGCACAACTCGGACTAGTTTGCACCCATACTCTTTGTCATTTTACATCAATTGTAACTGGATGAAACAGAGAGCCAGCTATTCGCTTGTGTTGCGAACTCCTATTTTGATCGAATAGTGCATGGAATATTTCTTAGGAGAAGCATCTGTTCATGGCTAAAATATAAAATTTGGCAGCTAATTATTCTTTATTATATTTATAGCTGCCCTGCGATGCTTGAAGAGGAAGAGGTTTTATGAAGAACAAATTGAGCATCTTTGGAGTTTTCAAATGCGTATTCATGATCAGGTATGATGATTAGTTTCCTAAACTTCAAATTATTTACATACCACTAAATTCTTATGAATTTACATATCTAACCTAAACTTCAATTATTTATTTCTCAATGGAACAAAAGATGCTGAAAAAGTTGCCCGTCTATGACGGCGAGCCTCAACAAATTACAACCAATGTCATCTTCCAGTGCAACACTACACGTAGTTCTCTACGTTCAACTTTCAGGCCAGTTCCTTTGCACAAGAACGTTTAGGATTTGACAATTTTAAATGTTTGCTCAATTTTTATTTTGTTTTTTTTCAGAGGTTATATGTAATTTTTTTTTTCTGTAATTAAACTATTATCCTTGTTACTTTGTGCTTTTCTCATATAGCAAACAATCTTTTGCAGATCCTTTGCTTTATTTTCCTCTATACACGTGCCTAGTTTTATTTTAATTTATTTTTGCATATGTGATTTTTGGGAGTAAGGTTGATCAAAGGATATCCTGGATATTGTTGCGTTGATTCAAAGATTTCTGGTTGTCTATATTTTATTCTTCAATAAATGACTTTATATAGGAGAACCTTTGATTGTTATTGAATGCAAGGAATGCTTTTGATCTCTGATGAAGGAGAAATATCATCTTTTGAACATAGGTACAATGCTTTTGGGTCATCAACCTTTATGAGAATGTGCTTGTTTTTTTGAAGTAAGTTTGAGTTTTTTGAACTATCATTAATCATTATTTAGTGGCGATCTTTATCTAAAAGAACCTTGGATTATCTTATTTTATACATAGGCTATGATGGTGTTATTTTTTTTGGATCTAAAAACATTTAAAACTAAATTCAAGAATTTTAAATTTATTTTGATATCCGTACAAACTTTCACAAAGAAATTTATTATCGAGATAATGCAGTTTTACCCCATCCACCTCTACGAAGAGGTGCGCCCAAGAAACAAGGGACATGATTTAGAAATGTATCACTATCTATGCTTGGGGTATGATATAGTGGTAACACGGTCACTTGCTTTATATTCAACATACATTAATTTCATTAACATAGGATGACAGGTAGATTTTCTGATTATTATTATGTTTTTACCTTATATTATTTGCTTGTTTATTATTATTATTTTAATTTGTATAAAATAGTGTTCATGAGAAGAGGTGTTGACTTTGCTAGTAATAGTAGTGATTTGAGAGTTGTTGGGAAAGCGACACCTATTTTTAGAGGTTTATTCTCTTCCGAACATCATGTTTTTATTGCACAAATTATTGAGCCTCTAATGCTGGCATTGTTGCTTGTGTCCCAATCATGACACATAAATATCATCTAAGCCTTGCAAATTAGTATTGCTACTTGGATTACTCAAGTTGTTCAGTGATTCATTGGGTAGAAAATGAGAGAATCTTCTTGGAGCAATATTTCCCAATGTTAAAACTCCATAAAGCTAATGGATGATTCAAAGAAATTGGAGCAAAGTTCCAACACTCTTTGAAAGTACGGGATAAAAGTTCAATTGAATTGGTAGATTTGTTTCTTCCATTAGTCAACATGAACATTGCAAGCCTTGTAACTTATTTTATAAATTAAGAGAGGATGTTAGAAAATATTTATCAATTGTTAAATATTCTATCTTCAATGAGTTGATGGATTAAGCTATACCTCTTAGAGAAATACCATTACTTATGAAGAGAAAAAGGTTGGAAAATAGAAAAAAAGCATGCATTCAAGAAAACAGAAGTTCTATGAAAAAATCATCAATTGAATCATCGAGTTTAAAAATTTAAGAGCAATTATTATCAAACTCATTGTAGTAATGAACCTTATAACTTTATAATATGATTGGCGATAAGTGTTAAAATTTTTATAATGCCGATCCTAAAATCCAGGATTGTCCTTGCAAGAGTCAAGAATAACATACTCTGACATTTACACTAGAAAATATTTGAAGTTAAAATTAGCATATAACTGTTTGGTAGAAATCTCTTAGAGGGCAACATCGAAGGAATAATGGCAAAGCACTAGTAAGTCATTGATCCTGAAATTTTTTATATGTAAGAATTTATGAAGTTGACACCACTACTTGAATATTTTAAAATCCGGTAATAGCATTAAAAACTTGATCCCCCAAAAGGTGTAGCACAATGTTCCCCCAAGAGAAGGTCAGTCCTGACTTGATAATGAGTGTAAACGTCTCAACTCCTCGCAGGAAAAACTGAAGTGCCCCTAATATAAGGATAGTCCATTTCATAGTCATTTTGTGTTCACACCTCAAAGGCCCTAATATCAAACCAATAATCACATTGGCTTATGGAGCATTTTTTGCAATCACACAAAACAAGAAACCATCACTCTTTTGTTATTCTTACAATCTCTAATCAAAGAGTGAAAAGAATCAATCAAGAAATTGACTGTATACTGAATTACAACCAAATGTATTTGAGAAAGGTTTATATATGGGTAAGATATAATGATCAATAGACCATAAAGGTTCGAAGGGCCATGAAGTAGGCCAATCCCACCCGTCGAAGTTGTCAAACCGAGCTCATCTGTTGAAGTTGTTGAACCAAGTCCATCTGTCGAAGTGGTGAAACTAGCTCAAGAAAAACTTGCCACCGAAGAAAATCATCATTACATAAGAGTACACGTGTTCATCCTAATTTATGTCGTCACAATCTTCTTACCAAGGCATTTTGATAGGTATGGTACTGTACGAGATATAATTGTATAATTCTTTTTAACTTGTTTCCTCTTATGTGTAAAGGAGGGGAGGGCGTGCAAAAGAGGGCCCTCTCCCTCAAAAATTATCTTCTCTAAGCCTTTTTTCTGAGATTCTTGGAAGTAAGAATGCAAACTATAGCGACACATCTATTATCTCCTTTACTTTTCTCCGCAAAACATGATCTTACGGAGTTGTATGAGCTCACAAAAAATAAGGCACCCTATGTCCTAAAAAGAATTCAACAATGTTATTGTTGTCCTATCTCACATAATCAAACCATTTGAAAAATTGTTGTTAAATGGATGTATGCCACCTTCATTGGATTCACTTGAAAGTCCAATTTTGAGAAAAAGGCCAATTGTTAAAGGAGTAATATGAATAATCCACTGATATTAATTTAGTAGTTTACAATTGATTGATTAGGAGCTAACTACAGCATTGTAATGAATAAATATCACCCTTGGGTAGGATGATGTACTTGCAATGAAAAAAAAATGACACGCTTCTCATGTTTTAAATCTCTCATTTCTTTCTCTTAGGAGTTCTAGCAAGCTCAAAGTATTTCAATAGAATTGATTTCCTATCAGAATAATTATACAAGAAACTTACATTAAAAGCTTTACATTAAAAAGGTTTGATATCAATTATGTGTAATATTTATGGAATAGTCATTTAACTAAGAAATAATGAGCTAAAATGTAACAAAAATCAGGTCATCCCATTCTTCCAGATCAATTTGGAGAAAAACTTGGGAGATATTATTCAAATTAAGCTTTCATAATGATAAATCTTAAAAGTAATAATTTTTATTAAATGAATGCAATATATAAATAATTAATCAAAATTTAATTAAAATTTTTTAAATAATGAATTTAAATATTTGAGATTCATTAAAATTTAAGATTTAAAAGGTCACTGCTGATTAAAATTTTAAAATCAAAATTTAAAATTAGGGGACAGAACACAAAAAATTATTATATTTAAATATTTAATAGTTAAAATTTATTATTTGTTCACATAACACATAAATATATTAAATAAAATAAAATAAAAAATGACTCCTTTTCTATCTCCCAAAACCATTTCACATAACATTCCAGAGTACTCAAACCTCCATTATTCATCTATATATAAGCCCATTCTTCCTCTTCTTCCTAATCCACTCACCGTCTTCTCTCTCCCCATGCCGCCCTTAAATTCATCTCCCCTCGACCACCTTTTCGATATCGCCACCACTTCTGTGGTCGACATCCTCAAATCCCTCCCCACTCCTCTGCCTGCTCCGTCGCCAGCTCCCAGTGACCTCACCGTCTCTGACTACCTCGAGTCCCCTGATCTGATTTCCAGCGCACTGCCGACTTCGATGGGCTGTTTCTGCAACGATCCCCGACCATCATCCCCTTCTGAGCTCTGCCTCACTCTGAACATCCCCCGCACCACCGCCCCGAAGGTGGAGTGGCTCGATTCAACCGGATCCGGACTCGATTCGATCGACGGCAGGGGATACCGCGGCGTACGGAATCGACGGCAGGGGATCCCGCGGCGTACGGAAGCGGCCGTGGGGGAAGTTCGCGGCGGAGATCCGCGATCCCAAACGAAAGGGATCCAGGATTTGGCTTGGCACGTTCGACACCGCAGTGGAGGCCGCGCGGGCTTATGACAGTGCCGCGTTCGAGATGCGAGGAAGCAAAGCGATTCTCAATTTTCCAAACGAGGTTCGAAGTTCGCCGGAGAAGAGGAGGTGGGAGGATGAGGAGCAACAGGAGACGCAGGTGGTGAAGAGGGAGAGGACGGGGGAACCAGAGAGGAGGAATGTTCTGGAGAGTGAGGTACTGACGCCGTCAAGTTGGACGGCGGTGTGGGAGAGCGCGGACGTGACAGAGATGTTCAGCTTGCCGCCGTTATCGCCATTATCTCCGCACCCAACGTTAGGGTTTCTGCAGCTGATGGTGATTTGAATGCTAATATCGGGTATAGAAATATTTGAGCGCTACACACGGAGGGTATCGAGGATTTTATCTACGTTAGATCTCTATAACCTCCCTGTAACATATCTATAACTTAAGAATAAATGAAAATAGAAGAGCGAAACTTATTAGTTATAGGTAGGTTACAGGGAGCTTACATGGGGTATAATGTAGATATAACCCCCAATATCCTTCCTATAACCTATCAGACGTAATATTTCTCGAACGTTTCTCAGGAATGAATGGATTAAAAAATGGGGGAAATCCTGAATATAATACTATTTTTTATATGTAAATTACGTGCAAGGTTTCTCTGTATTGTTTGGCTCTGTTTATCCTATTTTATTGATTTATTTAGTGAGAACATCCTTGTGTATGTATGTAAAAATTTTAAATAGATTGGTGTCGTGAATTTAAAGGTAACGTAATAGTAACGGATAATTTTGTATTATATTATGTGAAGTAGAATTAAACGAGTTGAGTGTTTTTTTTGGGGTAGCTGCTATTGTTTGTCGTGAATGCTGTAGCTGCAGAAGAAATTATTATGAATAAATTATGTTGTTATTAATAGTTCATATTTGAGTCGTTCGTAAAGCGAGCAAGTTAAACATGAAAATTTTATTTGAGCTTGACTTTTAAATGAGTCGAACATGAATAAAAATTTGTTCGTTCGTGTTTGACTGATTTTGGCACGAAATAATTAAATAATAATATTTATTTATATTGTTTTTATATCAAAATTTGACTGATTTTGGCACTGACCCCATGGCACACCAATCTATCGGGCCACTGTCTTCATGACATGTCCATCCCTGGATACTGCCTTATCAGCATACCCATCTGTCGGGCATCTGCCTCCTTGGCATGCCCATCCGTGGGTCATTGCCTCCATGACACACACAATTGTCGGACCGCTGCCTCCTCGTCATGCCCATTTGCGGGTCACTGTCTCTATGGTGCACCCATATTTCAACTCACTGCCTTCATGGTATCTTCATCCCTTTGGGTCGTTGCCTCCTCGACACATTAATCTTTTGGGCCACTGCCTTTTTTACACATTCATCCTTTAGACTGCTGCATCCATGACATGCTCATCCCTCAAGTCAATGCCTCCTTAGCATATTCAATTGTTTAGCTGATGCATTCACGACATGCCCACCCCCTAGGTCACTGCCTCATCGTCATACCCATTAATCAGGTTGCTGCCTTCAAGACATGTCCATTCTTCAGGTTACTCCCTACTCAACATAGCCATTTGTTTGGGCCACTTCTTTCATGACAGGCCCACTCTTAGGTCACTGACTTTACGACATGCCCATCTGCGGGTCACTGCTTCCATGGAACACCCATTTATTGGACCGCTACCTCCTTAGATTGCCTATTTGTGGGTCACTACCTCGTGATACATCCATCAGTCAGACTGCTACCTTTACAACATGCTCGTCCCTTCGGGTAGCTGCCTCCTCAGCACATCCATCTTTCAGGATGTTGTCTCCACGACATGCTCATCATTTGAGTCACTTCCTCTTCGACACACCCATATGTCAGGTCGCTGCCTTCATGGCATGCCCATCCGTTGGGTCAGTGCCTCCTCGACATACCTATCCCTGGGTCACTACCTCCTCGACATACCCTTCAGTCGGGCCAATGCATCCAAGACAAACCCATCCGTCGAGCCGCTGCCTTCATGGTACACCCATCAGTAGGGTTGCTTCCTCCACAACACGCCTGCCTTTTGGGTTACTACCTCCTCGACATACCCATTTGTTTAGGCCACTGCCTTCACGACATGCCCACCACTTGGGTCATTGTCTTTAAGGCATGACCATCCGCAGGTCACTACCTATATGACACACCCATCTGTTGGGCTGCAACCTTCAAGGCATGCCTGTCCCTTCGGGTCACTGCTTCCTCGGCACATCCATTTTTTGGGCCACTGCCTCTATGGTATGCTCATCTCTTTGGGTCACTTCCTCTATGACATAACCATTTGTTTTGGTCACTACCTTTACGACATGCCCACCCCTTGGGTTACTGCTTCCTCAGTATACTCATATGTCAGGTCCCTGCCTTCATGGAATGCTCATCCTTTGGGTTACTACCTCCTCGACATATCTCTTTGTTCGGTTCGCTGCCTTTATGACATTCCCATCACTTGGGTCACTTCCTTCACGACATGCCCATCACAGGGTGACTGCATCCTCTACATACCCTTTTGTCAGGTCGCTGCCTCCACAACACACCCAACCTTTTGTGTCTCTGCCTTCGTGACACACCCATTTCTTGGGGTGCTGTCTTCATGAAATATCCACTCTTTCAGGTCACTACCTCTTCACCAGTCCCATTTGTTTGGGCCACAACCTTCACGACATTCCTACACCTTGGGTCACTGCCTTCACGACATGATCATTTGCATGTCACTGCCTCCATGACACTATTATATGTCAGACCGTTGCCTCTTCGACATGCCATTCAATGAACATTGCCTCAATGACTCACCTCCTTGATACATCCATCTTTCTCTCCACTGCTTTCACAACATGCTCATTCCCCGAGTTTCTGTCTCCTTGGCATAACCATCTGTTCGGGCCACAGACTTCATGACATGCCCACCTCTTGGGTCACTGCCTCCTTAGCATACCCATCTTTCGGGCCGCCGCCTTCACGGCATGTCCATCCTTTGGTCCATTGCCTCCTTGGGAAACCTATTTGTTCAGGCCACTGCCTTCACGACATGCCCATCCATGCCCACCTCTTGGGTCACTGCCTCTGAGACACACCCATATATTAGATAACTACCTTCATAGTATGCTTAACCCTTTTAGGTCTTTGCCTCCATGACACAAACATATGTCCAACCGTACCTCAATGGCCCGCCCTCCCTTTCGGGTCTCTACCTCTATGAAACACCCATCTGTCGGGCAGCTACTTCAACGACATGCCCACTGTTTCGAATCTCTGCCTTCAAAGCATACCCATGGGTTGGGTTGTTGCCTTCATGGTATGCGCATCATTGAGTCACTGCCTCCTTGACATACCCATCCATCATGCCGCTGCCTCCACGACAAGCCCATCCCCTGGTCACTGCCTCCTTGAATTTCCCATCTTCTGGGCTACTCCCTTCACAACATGCCCATACTTTGAGTGACTGCCTACATGGTACACTCATCTATTGGGTCGTTTCTTCCATGAAATACCCATCCCCAAGCCACTGTCTCCTCAGCTAGCCCATCTTTCAGGCCCCTACTTTCATGATAGGTCCATCCTTCGGCTCATTGCCTCCATGACACACTCACGTATCAGGTGAGTGTTTCCTTCATGACATGCCCACCTATTTGAGTCATTGTCTCCATGAAACACTCACCTTCGTCACTTTGGCACACTTGTCTTTGCCTGTTGCATATCCTGCATGTCTGCATGCACACACAGTGAGTGCCTCTCTGGTAAGGTGTGAACCCTTTTCATACATATCATTTTACTCAATGCATACTCACTTGTAGACAATATCAAAGGATTGCATAGCACACCGAGTCCCTAAACAAAAAAAATTCCTCTCCATAGATAACTTATTTTACTAGTACCTCCCATTCATGTGTGTCAAGCTGCATGTAACATCCTTGGATTCATTTACATGATGCATGTTTCACTTTTTTGGGTGCCTATTATGATTTTTTCATACTTCGATCGAACAGCCACAATGTAGGCTTCTTGCATGACTGTATGCTTGCATATTCACCCTGATGACCTATCCTACTCATTAGGAGAGTGACGTGTTTGTTGGTCATGCTACTCAAATTACAGTTGCATGTGAGGATGCCTCCACGTGAAATGCAAGTTCCTTCTTAATGAGCAACAAATATGTATGATTGTGCTAAGGATCCAAGGGTTTTAAAGTGATTCATATGCATCATGGACCCACATTTTATAGTCCGTTATTTTAAAAAAAATGATTATTTTTACTATTCACATATTATCCGCCTACTTTTAAACTTATATAAGTTAGGCCATACATGAGGCCACTTATTTAAAATGTCACACCTCTCATGTGACATGCTTTAAACCCTGTTGACCTCACTTTTGGTTGAGGTCT